CCCAATATATTTGTATTTATTGCATTATATTTTATTTTCTCTTTCTCTTTTCTCCTTCAACATAATCTTATCAGATTACTAATCAGGTGCTCATCAAACACAGGAGGCTTATCAGCCCCATATCATATCCTACCCTTATCAGCCTCATATCATATACTACCCACCAAAAACGTTTTCTATATATATAAGGCAACCCTTGCATGTCAATGTAAACATTCAGCAAGAATCCAAAACCTTCCAAACCACACCAAGAAAAAGAAAAAGAATCCAAAATCTTCTGAATCCAAAACCTTTCTTCTGATAGTGATGGAGTCAGAGGTCCCAAGACTCGTTTTCTATGTCCTCCCTGAAACCGTTTCCGCAATATACAAAACTCATCAACACTGGCCTCAGATTCTTGAATGGCTCGTGTCGTCTATCGCTTCCAACGACGACGACAAGTTTCGTGAAGTCGCGCTGTTGGTTTTGTGTTCGTTGCCAAACGATTGTTGTTTTCTTGTTTGCGATGCTCTCCGCGACCGCGGCCGCCTTCTTCATTCGTCGTTCTTGATTTCTCTGGCGTCGTCGAACCCTAACGTTCAGGTTGCGTCGTTTGGTGCGGTTGTGAGTTTGGTTCGGTTGTTCTCTGATCCTTCACTGTTCCATAAGCTCTTACGCGCGATGATGGCTGGCGTGTTCACACTATTGCACGGTTTCGAAGGTACCTATTTTCGAATCACTTTGAGGTAAAAGAGTACGGTGAACACGTGTGGCTGAACCTTCCTTCTCAAACTGTGGTTAGGTTGTTCTTCATTTTATGAAAATGCTTCTGTGTAAAGAGAATGGTGGTGTTGGTGACCATGACCATGACCATGACTTAGGAATAAAGTGTTTGAAACAACTTTGTGTTACACTTGGAGGGAGTAAAGTATTGGCAATTGCTTCCATGACAGGAGCAAAAATGTGTTGAGGCTCAGGGTTATAATAGTCTTTATCATTCTATTTTTTTAATTTTTCAACCATAAAACTACGTCGTTTCAATGAACATTAGACAAAGTTGTCTAAAGCAACATTAGATACTTTTTTCCCCAATAAATATAGGGATTAAAGTTTCTGCTGCGAATGATGTTGTTAAACGGTGTCGTTTTGGTCAAAAATCAAATTACTTACTGCACTCGCTTATGCCCTACTGCAATTAGGTAATGCCATTTTAAATCTTTGCGGAAGTCTACCTCTTGTTCCCCCCTCTTCTTAGATGGGGCGAATCTTTTTAACTCTTCGATTGTCATATTATGGCGTTCGTTTACACCAGTTATTTATATTATGCATTCTATAGAATAGACTATAAGTTAACTGTTCAATCGTGCATTTAGCATCATGTAATATTAACTTTATTGCATTCCATTTTTTTTTGTTATTGTCGCCATTTTAATTGGGTTCCGCGATCACCCACTCCGACCAAAACATGTCATTCTCTCGATGCGATTAATTCATATGTCAGTAAAGATAGTCAAATTACTGAATGATCTTTCCAACGCTTTTTCCCTTAATATCACACTGCCATTAAGGGAAAAAGAAACTGGCATGCGAACAAGATGAATACGGAAGAGTTGCACAGTAAGCAATTTGACTTTTAAAAAAAGACCAAAACGACACTGTTTAATTGCACAGCAGGCACTTTTATCTAAAGTTACAGCAGACACTTTAATCCCATAAATATATTATCCTATATTATTTTACCTTTTTTTGTCCTAAGTATTGGGTGATAGGTTTTAAGAGTTGGCTTTTTAACCAACTGTGACCCTACCCACAATGAAGGAAACTAGCCAGACATGGTCATAGCTGAATTACAATGATTCATAAAAGAAGAATAAGAATTCAAAAGGAAGAGAAAATAATCTCCAAGATCAATCTCCGCAAAAAGCTCCAGAAGTTCTTTTCAAGCTCTCCCTCTCTATCATTTTTGTCTTCTGATCCCCCTTTTTAATTTTGCACGCACGCGTTCAAAACACGGTGTCTTCCTGCTCGAAAACCGGCGCTGATGGCGCCTTTTTGTACTGAATTTGAATTAATCAACGCGATCAGCGCCGGTCATACTTCTTCCGCGCTGATGGCGCGGATTTTTCACTGAAAATGCATTTATTCCGCGCTGATAGCGCCGCCCATCTGATCCAAATTTTCCTTCTGCGCAAATTCTCATTTTTCATGCTAAATTCCTATCCAAATATAAACTTGAGTGAGAAATAACATTGAAAATGAAAAACTAACAATTAATCCATAAAATGTATTGATAAGTATGCTCTTTTGACCTTAAAGCTTAGTATTTTAACTTGGAAAATCAAATATATTACAACCACATCACCAACCAAACAGTAAAACAGCTAATGAATCTAGATAAATAAAAGAAAATAATCTTTTCTAATACAATTGACTTTATAGGTGAATTAGCTTTGCACATAAGAATCTTATCAGAAATTGAGTTATCAACACATTTTTGCTCATGTCATCATTAATTTATTTTCAAATGATAAAGCAAGAGGAGTTCCATTAACTAACATGCATAAGTAAACTTATATGCAGTTGCGGAGCCAGCCCAATAATTTAGGTGGTGCCAGAAAATTTGACATATTAAATTATTAAAATATTTATTAGGAAAAAAAATTTAATATGAATTGTAGCATAATGATCTAAATTATGTACTAAATAATATCACATAACATTGAAAATTCAAATGAACAATTATCATTGATTATATATCAAATAAAAAATATAAAAATACACTAATCTTTTCGGTAAGCATTTCAAACATAAGAATTTCACTTTTCTCCTACAACATAATAAGTAATGAACCAAACATTGTCCTAAAAATATGAAAACAATCAAATATAATAATTATATGTATAATAAGCATTGTCCTTCGTCTTCTCTTTCATTTTCTCTATTCCTTAAATTTTCAATATCTCTCGTTAGAGAACATCTCCCTTATTTGCAACAACCATAAGCACGAAGGAAAGTTCTCACATTTGGGAATTAGGTTTTTGACTATTTTTTGTGTTTTCAATAACCCAAAACACAATAGTTTAATAAACCTTCATATTCCATAACTATAGACCTGTTATTCATTTGGTTTCATGATTGTTATTTTCAAGAGTTAAGTGTGTATCCTTTTAAATAACACAAATTATGTCTTTTTAGTTTTTAACATTATGTCTTACCGGTAAGACATAGTTATAACATAAAAAACTATTTTCATGAAAAGTTATTTTTTCTCTCTCTACACGTCAGTTGAAGTGACTGAGGAAAGGAGAAAAAAAAGTAATTTTTCATATTATAACTATGTCTTAACAGTAAGATATAGTGTCAAAAACCAATAGGACACAAGGTTCTGTCCTTTAAAAGGACAAATCCTTTTCTCTACTTTTAAGGGGTTTATTTGAGCTCAAATTCTGAAATAGGTTAACTAATCATTTTTGTGATTAAGTTTAGATGTCTTTATTTTTTAAAATAATAGGAATAAGAATAAATAACATAACTAATTAGAATAAAGCGAAAAAAAATATACGAGATAAAAAATAAAAGAAGGTGAAACACAAAAATAACATACTATACACGTTCTTTATTATTTGTTTGCATTTAAATAATTTATTGTTACTTTATATTGAGTATTTGATTTTCTATTTAGGTGGTGCCAAATTATAATTTGAAGCTTGATTAATTATAATTAATTATGTAATATATGTAATAAGTAAAAAAAAAACAAGCAGGTGCCTTGGCACCTGCTGGCGTATGTGTGGCTCCGCCGCTGCTTATATGTCATCGTGGGAGCTAAAGAATAAAGTTTGATAGTTGAGTAATGATTTTTTTTTTAGGAAGCATCTGTTTACAAAAAAAAATTATAAATTTTTACAAATTACACTATGTACTCTCAAAAATACATAATGTAATCTAGTATATTTTTGAGAATACATATTATAATTTGTAAAAAAAATTATAAATATAATACTCCCCTTTTCTGTATGTGAAACAAGCAAATTTTGTTTAAATTTAGATACAAATTGATAAATGGGAAAGAAAAAGTTATACAGCTTGTTTGACAACTCTTAATTATTATTATTATTTAAATAAAAAACCTTTTAAAAAATTGTTAAAATTAAAGAATTTAATTTTAAAATAAAATAATTTAATTTTAAAATAAAATAATTTAAATATGCGTTTAGTAGTTATGTATTAATAGTTATAAATATCCGTGAACTATGTGGTTAACACTAGGTCTCTTTGGTTCTCATCCCGTGTTGACCACCTATATATCACCTACTCTGTCCTATGTATATATGGTAATGGCGGCAAATTTAGTAAGTATTACGAATGCACCAAATTTTTGATATATTTTTTATTTATAATTCATTATCTGATCATATAAGGAAAAGTTTGATGTAATATTATTATTTTTTATTAAATTATCTTGTTACCTAATTTTAAAATGAATTATTTTTATTATAATTTAATAAAATAAAACACGCACTACAGGAAATTATGGGTTTATCATATTACAGGAAATTATCTCTTGTTTGGTGAGTCAATAGGATATGATTAGCTTATCCTATTATCTCCTTTTATCCTATCCAATACATGATTTCTTATCTTATGAGAGGAGCTGGGTTATGATTCAATAGGATAGGATATCAATATTGGATACCCAATAAATACCCACGTTACCCAATATATTTGTATTTATTGCATTATATTTTATTTTTTCTTTCTCTTTTCTCCTTCAACATAATCTTATCAGATTACTAATCAGGTGCTCATCAAACACAGGAGGCTTATCAGCCCCATATCATATCCTACCCTTATCAGCCTCATATCATATACTACCCACCAAAAAAGTTTTCTATATATATAAGGCAACCCTTGCATGTCAATGTAAACATTCAGCAAGAATCCAAAACCTTCCAAACCAGACCAAGAAAAAGAAAAAGAATCCAAAATCTTCCGAATCCAAAACCTTTCTTCTGATAGTGATGGAGTCAGAGGTCCCAAGACTCGTTTTCTATGTCCTCGCTGAAACCGTTTTCGCTATATACAAAACTCATCAACACTGGCCTCAGATTCTTGAATGGCTTGTGTCGTCTATCGCTTCAAACGACGACGACAAGTTTCGTGAAGTCGCGCTGTTGGTTTTGTGTTCGTTGCCAAACGATTGTTGTTTTCTTGTTTGCGATGCTCTCCGCGACCGCCGCCGCCTTCTTCATTCGTCGTTCTTGATTTCTCTGGCGTCGTCGAACCCTAACGTTCAGGTTGCGTCGTTTGGTGCGGTTGTGAGTTTGGTTCGGTTGTTCTCTGATCCTTCACTGTTCCATGAGCTCTTACGCGCGATGATGGCTGGCGTGTTCACACTATTGCACGGTTTCGAAGGTACCTATTTTCGAATCGCGTTCGTTGAGTTGATAAATCTAGTGTCTCAAGAGCCTCTTCTGTTGAAGCCTTACGTGAGTGACATGGTTCTCGACGCGCTTCAGATCGCGGAGAGTGAGGGTTTGACCAAAGAAACGCATCGTTTGGCGTTTGAGTTGGTTATGGCCATGACTGAGGTAAAAGAGTACGGTGAACACGTGTGGCTGAACCTTCCTTCTCAAACTGTGGTTAGGTTGTTCCTCGTTTCTATGAAAATGCTTCTGTGTATTGAAGAGGATGGTGGTGTTGGTGACCATGACCATGACCATGACCATGACTTTGGAATAAAGTGTTTGAAACAACTTTGTGTTACACTTGGAGGGAGTAAAGTATTGGCAATTGCTTCAGAACTGTTGCCTCTTTACTTGGATTCCAAGGAATGGAAGAAGCGCCATGCTGGAATTACACTGCTTACTGTGATCTCAAAAGAGTTCTCTGATGAAATGGTGACCTCATCATCTTAACAACTCTCTTTGCTTTGCTTTCATATATATTAATAACTTTTTGACTTAATTGCTGGTGAGGTTTACTACTTTCTCACACTGTCTAACCTTTGTTTATTAATTACATTTTTGGCAGGTATTGATGGAAAATTTTCTTGGGGAAGTGCTGACCAAAGTTTTGAATTCATTCCAAGACTCTCATGCTCAAGTTAGGTTGGCAGCTTTTAATTTTATGGAGACGCCTACAAACTTTGTCCATGTGGCGCAAACCCTTTATCATCCTAGGCTTCTGAATGCTTTTTCTATTGCACTTGACAATGATCAGGACTATAAAGTGAAGGTATTGTAGATATATAGATGTGAAATTGAATTTGAATTTACTTGCATCATGTTAAAGCTGATTATTATGATCTACAAACTTCCATAACCCATAGATAGTTGCTTCATTTCCCTGAAACATAAATACAGGAGAAACAACTCTGAAGTACATATAAACTCACTTTGCTAGTAGTCTAGGGGATTAATTCAGTTTTAGATTATTCACTTCATCCATTGCTTCATTTGAATGAATTTTGCTGCTAGTTTTTTGGTATGCCACTCATGACTATATAAACAAAGGTATAATCCCTGGTGTATAGTTAAAAGGTACCTCCTCTTATTATGATCAAGATACATACCTCCTCTCAATCTCATGTTGAAATTTTTTAGCAATTTATCTTTTGATAGTTTTTCTTTGAAATGAACACTTGGGGTGGGATCGTTGGCAATGCTTGGAAGCATGAACAGTGTCTAGATATTTTACTCATCCTTCCATTCTTTATATTTTCACTATCACCGAGCAAGTCATTATTGTTATTATCATCAGCATGTGTGTCTTCTTTATCTTATTTTTCAAACATGTATTATAAGTTAATAATCTTGTGTTTCTTTTATAGGAAAAAGCTGCCTCAGCAATGCTATTCTTTCTAAGGAACACTCTTCCAGAGAGCTTAACTATGTTCAAGGACGTGGACACCGAAATGGGCAAATTGTTGTCATTGCTTCAGGTAAAAATTACAATCTTTTTTTATGCAGGAATTCAGTGTCTGTGGAAAAGTTCCCGGATAATATTTATTACTACCAATAAAGTAGGAATTATCTTTCTTACATTTTCCTTTAGAAATTTTCATCAAGGCTCATAATATTCTAGTTTCCACCATTGTGATATGCTTATTTGATGTTTTTCAGCCATCTGCTTGCAAAGAAGTGTTAAGCAAAGAAGAATTGCTTTGTCAACTTTCAACTTAGTTGCACAGCGGTGTCATGAAGTAGCTCACAAGTAGTCTTGGCGAGAGGATTTTGTTATTAGTAAATCACAATTATTTAGTTGTATTCACATGCCCTAGTTTGCATCATGGTACCATTTTCTTCTTTTTTGTCACCTTTTCCTACACCTCTTAACGTGCACATCTAGACAGACCAGAGGGAAATCATCTGTGTTTGCCCTCAGCAGTTTTTTAATTAAATATCTTTAACATCTCAAAAAAAAAAAAAACATTGAGGACAATGAAAAGCACTGTGCTGGAATCTCCATTAACTCTGGTCCACGACACGATCAACTGATTGAGCTTTTTTTTTTGTTTTTTTCGCCTCATGAGGTATATCAGAAACTGAGTCCTAGTCCCAGTTACCGAAACTGCGACTTATATCACGCTATTGGAAAAGCAGCACCCCTCATTATGTAATATATACACAATTATACATTATATATTGCTGCCACGTCCCACGAGATAATAACTATTTAAATGTCATGGTCTAAGTATCTACATAGCAGGGATTTATATGGCAATGCCTAATTAATGTCTCTTCAAAGTGATCCAAAGATATATAACTACCCTTGTACTGAATTATGGAACGCTTTAAACGCAACAACCAATTCCAACCTATAGGAATACCCAAGTAGGTATTTCCTTTTTCCAAACGTGGAAAAAATTTAAAGGTGGCCAGAAAAAAAATTTCAAAAATGAAAATAAAAATTTTTATATTTGAAAAAAAGGAGTACCCACCACCGTATCACTATGTATAGTTTTGTTCCCTTGTTATAAGGTTGCTCCCGGTCTGTGTCAGTCATGGCTGACATGCACAAGATCAAATAGCTGTCTCTCCGTCAATTGTGTGGGTCACCTTTTTTTCTCATCTGTTATACGTAATTTCCAATATTTCTTATTAGGATAAGTAGATGAAATGAAATCTAAAGGGTCCTTGCTTGCCATAAATTTATTATGGGGTCAAAGTTTAGCAAGGAAATTATTTGGTATTGGGAATTGGTCTATTATATATACGAAACCCTCAAACCCCTAATGATGAGTTATCTAAAACAGGTTATAGGCATCGAATGAACTTACATGTTAACATTTGTATTTACAGCCCTTAAAAAGATAATATTAAGTGATATATTTGGATAATTGTTTCTTATGTTGTAAGAGATAATTTTATCTTCTATATACATAAAAGTGTATGAGGTCCATGTGAAGAGAAGTGAAAGAAAAAGATAATATAAACCTCACATATTATATATATATATATATATATATATATATATATATATATATATGAGATAAAATTATCTCTTACAATATTAAAAACATTAATCTCATAAATAAAATGATATATGATGAATGTTTAGACTAGATTACTTAGAATTCAATTCTCATGTTGAATGAGAAATATAAAACCCTTAATTGATATAATTAATAATTGTCTTTTCATTCTCTATTGTGAAAATTATTGAAAATGTTAGGATTCTAATTTCTGTAATTATGTCACGTCAAACGGCCTGGAATAAAAGTTAAAGAAAATAAGGTTATTTTGTAATATCAATTATCTATTGGATCAAAATCATTTTAGACAGTTACATTTCCAATCTTGCATCGTCGATCATATTTATATCTAACGATTCTGATTTATTATATATGTAAGTCATATATACAAAGCAAATCAATGGCTAAATTAAAATTAGGTATAATTTTTTTATTCTAGTATAAGAATACCTGCCTTAAGCTATTTAATAAGAGTAATTTTGTTAATACGAATATATGATAGTCCATGACTATTTCATCAAACCCTTTTATTTTTATTGAATAGAGTGATATTCCAAACCAAATGTAACCATACTCCATGCACCTGAGGCAAAGAATTGACTCCAACACTTGTTTCTACTTTCTGGGATTCTAGCATGATCCATTATCAAATGGGCTAAAGGAACAACCTACAAAGGATATGACGTGGCAAGATTACTTGCTCTCTCTTTTTTTGGTAATAAATAAAAATTCTTTAGTTATAATAAATGTTAAATAAAATATTTTTATTATGTGGAATGCTTTTATCTTTCATTTTATTTTATTAATTTTTTCAAATTAATCAAAAAAGAGATCGATCTTAACACTTGTTTTTTTTTTTAATAAAAAGTTGCATGTTTCTGATTTTTGTTTTTTTTAACATTATCCTCCGGTAATCTTATAGGTTCCCAACTAATTTGGAGTTCAAGACGGATTTAGAATTAGGATTTTAATCCCCTTTCAAAAATAATATTAAAAAAAATCTAACACATATTTGTATCCTCACTTGTTCAACTTTCACACGTCAATTATTGCATGCTTTTGATTTTGTTTGAACGAGCCCACTTTTGTCTAAATATTAGTAATAAAAACTAGTTTTTGGGACTTCTACCTACAGATCAGGATAATTGATTCTTGCCTCATCTATGACCAACAGTTTTATCAACGTAGGGGTATTAATTTGTCTCCAGCAACCTTATTTGAATCAATACAATACACTTATTTATTTAAATACGGGTATTAATTTGTCTCCAGGCTCCAGCAACCTTATTTGAATCAATACAATACACTTATTTATTTTCTCTCCATGTGCCGGGCGCAACGTCGTTTAACTTCTTGTTCTTTTTGTTAATATATACAGTAGCTTGTAATTAATTCAGTTAGTTAGAAGTCTGTTAGTTAGATGTTAGTTATTTCTGTTATTTACAGTTAAAGAGTCTTTGCTTCCGTGCTTTAGTTTGATTGCTGTTGTATATATATCAGCAATGTAACCTTGAGAATTCATTCAATACATTCAATCTTTTTCATCTTTTATCTAGTTTTCAATATGGTATCAGAGCTCATCTAGAGCTCTGGTATTCACCCTCTCTTGTTCCCAATTCTTCTCAAAAGATTTTCCTTCTTCTTCCTTTCGAAATTTTCTGTTTTCTTTTCATCAATCAAGAAAATGGAAGATGCAGCATCAGCACCAACTCAAAGAGTAGTACCAAACCGAAATACAACACCAGCACCAGAATCCAATCCCTATTACCTACATCCCAATGAAAGCTCATCGCTGGTCTTAGTATCTCCTTCAATGAATGGAAAGAACTTCCACACATGGCAAAGATCAATGCGTATGGCACTCCTATCCAAGAACAAGCTTGGTTTTGTTAATGGAACAATCAAGAAACCAGATGATGACACCTCTATTTGGTTCATGGGAAAGGTGTAACACTATGATAATTTCTTGGCTCAATCGATCCATCTCAGAATCCATTGCACAATCAGTGCTTTGGATGGAGAAAGCAGATGATATATGGAACAACTTGAAAGACAGGTTTGCTCAAACTGATATGTTTAGAATTTCTGATCTTCAAGATGAAATTTTCAAATTGCAGCAAGGAGACAAATGTGTTTCAGATTACTTCACCCAATTAAAGATTTTATGGGATGAATTAGAAAGCTTACAGCCAATTTTACCATCTTGCGCATGTGGAGCAGCAACACAAGTAAAGGATACTCGTGAAAGGGACTATGTAATAAGATTCTTGAAAGGGTTAAATGACCAATTTGAACATGTGAGAGCTCAAGTAATGCTATTAGACCCTCTTCCATGTGTTAACAAAGTATTCTCATTGATTCTTCAGCAAGAAAGGCGCCTGAAAATAGGAGTCCAAGATTCACAATCTTTCATCAATATTGCTGAACAACAAAATTCCAGAGGACAACTAGACAGAGGACAGACTCGATATCATCCAAATTTCAATCAGAACTTCAACCAAGGTTTCAATCAAGGAAGAGGCCAAGGTTTTAATCAAGGAAGAGGCCAAGGTTTCAATCAAGGAAGAGGTCGTGGAAATAAGTTTTGCACATATTGCAAGAGAACAAACCATACCATCGAGACATGCTATCTCAAGCATGGATTTCCACCAGGATACCAAACCAGAAGACCATATGCTGCTGCTGCTGCTACAAACTTTGTTTCACTAGAATTTGATGATAGTGTACACAATACTGATCCAGAACCTGAACCAGAATCTCTGAATCTTGCCTTTTCAAAAGAACAACATCAAGAAATTCTGGAACTTCTACAAAGATCAAAGCTGCCTCACTCATCACATATCACATCACATATATTTTCTCTAATCTTTCATGTGTCCAATCCATAAATCCCATACACATCACACTTCCAAATGGCACTCAAATTACCACAACACAATCAGGCACAGCAAGAATTTCTGATTCTTTAGTTCTTAAAAATGTTCTCTATGTACCATCCTTTCGTGTCAATTTGATTTCAGTAACCAAACTTCTTCAAGACACCCAATCCTACATTCTTTTTCATGACTTAACTTGTTTCATCCAACAGATATCAACCAACCAGACGATTGGTTCAGCTAAACAATTAGATGGACTCTACATATTGATACCTTACATTTCTAGTACAATCAAAACTACATTTCCTTTCTAATTAATACATACTGACATTTGGGGTCCCTTCTCCACAACTTCTTTACATGGCCATCGATATTTCTTAACAATTGTAGATGACTATACACGTTTTACATGGGCTATTCTTTTAAAGAACAAAGCTGAGGCACGAAACAATTTAAAACACTTTACTACCTATGTTGAAAATCAATTCAAATCCTCCATAAAAATCATCAGAAGTGATAATCGAGTTGAATTCCTTATGACTGATTTCTATCTCTCAAAAGGGATTGAACATCAACGTTCTAGTGTTGAATCACCCCAACAAAATGGGGTTGCAGAACGTAAACACCAACATATCCTTAATGCAGCTCGTTCTCTTTTCTTTCAAGCCAAATTACCACTTAGCCTATGGACCTATGCAATTTCTCATGCCATACACATCATAAACAGAATTTAATAGTTATGTATTAATTATTATTATTATTTAAATAAAAAACCTTTTAAAAAATTGTTAAAATGCACCAAATTTTTGATATATTTTTTATTTATAATTCATTATCTGATCATATAAGGAAAAGTTTGATGTAATATTATTATTTTTTATTAAATTATCTTGTTACCTAATTTTAAAATGAATTATTTTTATTATAATTTAATAAAATAAAACACGCACTACAGGAAATTATGGGTTTATCATATTACAGGAAATTATCTCTTGTTTGGTGAGTCAATAGGATATGATTAGCTTATCCTATTATCTCCTTTTATCCTATCCAATACATGATTTCTTATCTTATGAGAGGAGCTGGGTTATGATTCAATAGGATAGGATATCAATATTGGATACCCAATAAATACCCACGTTACCCAATATATTTGTATTTATTGCATTATATTTTATTTTTTCTTTCTCTTTTCTCCTTCAACATAATCTTATCAGATTACTAATCAGGTGCTCATCAAACACAGGAGGCTTATCAGCCCCATATCATATCCTACCCTTATCAGCCTCATATCATATACTACCCACCAAACGAGCCCAAAAAGTTTTCTATATATATAAGGCAACCCTTGCATGTCAATGTAAACATTCAGCAAGAATCCAAAACCTTCCAAACCAGACCAAGAAAAAGAAAAAGAATCCAAAATCTTCCGAATCCAAAACCTTTCTTCTGATAGTGATGGAGTCAGAGGTCCCAAGACTCGTTTTCTATGTCCTCGCTGAAACCGTTTCCGCTATATACAAAACTCATCAACACTGGCCTCAGATTCTTGAATGGCTTGTGTCGTCTATCGCTTCAAACGACGACGACAAGTTTCGTGAAGTCGCGCTGTTGGTTTTGTGTTCGTTGCCAAACGATTGTTGTTTTCTTGTTTGCGATGCTCTCCGCGACCGCCGCCGCCTTCTTCATTCGTCGTTCTTGATTTCTCTGGCGTCGTCGAACCCTAACGTTCAGGTTGCGTCGTTTGGTGCGGTTGTGAGTTTGGTTCGGTTGTTCTCTGATCCTTCACTGTTCCATGAGCTCTTACGCGCGATGATGGCTGGCGTGTTCACACTATTGCACGGTTTCGAAGGTACCTATTTTCGAATCGCGTTCGTTGAGTTGATAAATCTAGTGTCTCAAGAGCCTCTTCTGTTGAAGCCTTACGTGAGTGACATGGTTCTCGACGCGCTTCAGATCGCGGAGAGTGAGGGTTTGACCAAAGAAACGCATCGTTTGGCGTTTGAGTTGGTTATGGCCATGACTGAGGTAAAAGAGTACGGTGAACACGTGTGGCTGAACCTTCCTTCTCAAACTGTGGTTAGGTTGTTCCTCGTTTCTATGAAAATGCTTCTGTGTATTGAAGAGGATGGTGGTGTTGGTGACCATGACCATGACCATGACTTTGGAATAAAGTGTTTGAAACAACTTTGTGTTACACTTGGAGGGAGTAAAGTATTGGCAATTGCTTCAGAACTGTTGCCTCTTTACTTGGATTCCAAGGAATGGAAGAAGCGCCATGCTGGAATTACACTGCTTACTGTGATCTCAAAAGAGTTCTCTGATGAAATGGTGACCTCATCATCTTAACAACTCTCTTTGCTTTGCTTTCATATATATTAATAACTTTTTGACTTAATTGCTGGTGAGGTTTACTACTTTCTCACACTGTCTAACCTTTGTTTATTAATTACATTTTTGGCAGGTATTGATGGAAAATTTTCTTGGGGAAGTGCTGACCAAAGTTTTGAATTCATTCCAAGACTCTCATGCTCAAGTTAGGTTGGCAGCTTTTAATTTTATGGAGACGCCTACAAACTTTGTCCATGTGGCGCAAACCCTTTATCATCCTAGGCTTCTGAATGCTTTTTCTATTGCACTTGACAATGATCAGGACTATAAAGTGAAGGTATTGTAGATATATAGATGTGAAATTGAATTTGAATTTACTTGCATCATGTTAAAGCTGATTATTATGATCTACAAACTTCCATAACCCATAGATAGTTGCTTCATTTCCCTGAAACATAAATACAGGAGAAACAACTCTGAAGTACATATAAACTCACTTTGCTAGTAGTCTAGGGGATTAATTCAGTTTTAGATTATTCACTTCATCCATTGCTTCATTTGAATGAATTTTGCTGCTAGTTTTTTGGTATGCCACTCATGACTATATAAACAAAGGTATAATCCCTGGTGTATAGTTAAAAGGTACCTCCTCTTATTATGATCAAGATACATACCTCCTCTCAATCTCATGTTGAAATTTTTTAGCAATTTATCTTTTGATAGTTTTTCTTTGAAATGAACACTTGGGGTGGGATCGTTGGCAATGCTTGGAAGCATGAACAGTGTCTAGATATTTTACTCATCCTTCCATTCTTTATATTTTCACTATCACCGAGCAAGTCATTATTGTTATTATCATCAGCATGTGTGTCTTCTTTATCTTATTTTTCAAACATGTATTATAAGTTAATAATCTTGTGTTTCTTTTATAGGAAAAAGCTGCCTCAGCAATGCTATTCTTTCTAAGGAACACTCTTCCAGAGAGCTTAACTATGTTCAAGGACGTGGACACCGAAATGGGCAAATTGTTGTCATTGCTTCAGGTAAAAATTACAATCTTTTTTTATGCAGGAATTCAGTGTCTGTGGAAAAGTTCCCGGATAATATTTATTACTACCAATAAAGTAGGAATTATCTTTCTTACATTTTCCTTTAGAAATTTTCATCAAGGATCATAATATTCTAGTTTCCACCATTGTGATATGCTTATTTGATGTTTTTCAGCCATCTGCTTGCAAAGAAGTGTTAAGCAAAGAAGAATTGCTTTGTCAACTTTCAACTTAGTTGCACAGCGGTGTCATGAAGTAGCTCACAAGTAGTCTTGGCGAGAGGATTTTGTTATTAGTAAATCACAATTATTTAGTTGTATTCACATGCCCTAGTTTGCATCATGGTACCATTTTCTTCTTTTTTGTCACCTTTTCCTACACCTCTTAACGTGCACATCTAGACAGACCAGAGGGAAATCATCTGTGTTTTCCCTCAGCAGTTTTTTAATTAAATATCTTTAACATCTCAAAAAAAAAAAAAACATTGAGGACAATGAAAAGCACTGTGCTGGAATCTCCATTAACTCTGGTCCACGACACGATCAACTGATTGAGCTTTTTTTTTTTTTTTTTTCGCCTCATGAGGTATATCAGAAACTGAGTCCTAGTCCCACTTACCGAAACTGCGACTTATATCACACGTTTTAATTGCTATTGGAAAAGCAGCACCCCTCATTATGTAATATATACACAATTATAACTATTTAAATGTCATGGTCTAAGTATCTACATAGCAGGGATTTATATGGCAATGCCTAATTAATGTCTCTTCAAAGTGATCCAAAGATATATAACTACCCTTGTACTGAATTATGGAACGCTTTAAACGCAACAACCAATTCCAACCTATAGGAATACCCAAGTAGGTATTTCCTTTTTCCAAACGTGGAAAAAATTTAAAGGTGGCCAGAAAAAAAATTTCAAAAATGAAAATAAAAATTTTTATATTTGAAAAAAAGGAGTACCCACCACCGTATCACTATGTATAGTTTTGTTCCCTTGTTATAAGGTTGCTCCCGGTCTGTGTCAGTCATGGCTGACATGCACAAGATCAAATAGCTGTCTCTCCGTCAATTGTGTGGGTCACCTTTTTTTCTCATCTGCTATACCTAATTTCCAATATTTCTTATTAGGATAAGTAGATGAAATGAAATCTAAAGGGTCCTTGCTTGCCATAAATTTATTATGGGGTCAAAGTTTAGCAAGGAAATTATTTGGTATTGGGAATTGGTCTATTATATATACGAAACCCTCAAACCCCTAATGATGAGTTATCTAAAACAGGTTATAGGCATCGAATGAACTTACATGTTAACATTTGTATTTACAGCCCTTAAAAAGATAATATTAAGTGATATATTTGGATAATTGTTTCTTATGTTGTAAGAGATAATTTTATCTTCTATATACATAAAAGTGTATGAGGTCCATGTGAAGAGAAGTGAAAGAAAAAGATAATATAAACCTCACATATTATATATATATATATATATGAGATAAAATTATATGCTGAATGTTTAGACTAGATTACTTAACTAATATTGATGATGCATGTAACAGCCCGTTGTACACCGGTATTTTTAACATTAATTATGATATTAAGCGCAGTTACAATCACAGCAGTTCATTTAT